TGGTTCGTCGGTTCGGGCCCCGCATCCAGGTCTGCGGGATTCTCTCTCTGCCCTCCCCAACTTGAGCTTCCTCTCTCTCTCTTTCTCTCTCTCTCTCTCTCGAAATAAACTGCTTTAAAAAAAAAAAAGAAGAAGAAGAAGAAGGAAGCACATAGGTTGTAGTAAAGATTCTGGGCTTGGAGGCCCAAGGCCGGGGTTCTAGGACAGCCCATTTGCATGCCCAGTAGCATGACCTCAGTTTCCTTAGCTAGAAAATGGGTTCATTGCTAGTCCTACCTCATGGGGTCTGTGAGCAGGACATGGGATTTAACACACGTGTGCTCCTTGGATCAGGGCCCAGCTGCGGGCAGTGCGCAGCATGTGGTGTCTACTCTTTTCTGACCTTGGTGGCCATGGAAACAGACTGGGGCCAGGAGGTGATGCTCCCAGACAGCCTGGGCCCGCAGGCTGAGTGAGTCCACTGCTCCTGTCTCCTCGTTAACGTCCGTGCCGCTCCCTCACTGGCCAATATGGAAACTAAGGCAAGAAGATGAACAACTTGCCCTGAGTTATTTAGCGAGTTGGGGGCTCAAAGGGAAGTGGATTCCGTGGACCTTGCCCAGAGTGAGTCCTCCCCCGCCCCACCTGATGACTTCACTCCCCCTCCTCCTCCCTCCCCCTCCCCCTCCTCTTCTTCTCCCTCAACAGCAACTGTTAACTGACCTTCGGGCCAGGCACTTGCTCATCCTTTATATTCCCACCTCCCCGAATCCCCACAGCAACCCCGTCAAGGAGATGCTGGGACTGGCCCCATTTTACAGACGACGAAACTAAGGCTCTGAGAAGCTAAGTGGCTGCCTGTGCTCACACCACTGGGAAAGGCTCACCCTTGTTCCCTCTGGCTCCTTCCCAAGCAGGCTGAGTCTCTTCACCGTGGGCACACCAGGACCCCAGCCACGCCGCCCCCAGAACAATCATCACCGAGCTCTTCCCGTCGGCACGGCACTGCCACTGCCGTGGTAGTAACCTCTGGAACCCTCCTGAAACGCCACAAACAGGAATTGTTATCCCGTTTCACAGAGAAGGAAACTGAGGCTCAAAGGGGCCAAAGCCTTGCCCTCCTCGACCCCACCATCACCCCGTGTCCAGAGTGCCTCCGCTGCATGGCAGAGTCCTGGATGCTGGTGTCCTCACATCGAGGACAGCCACAGCCCCGGGGAGTGGCCGGCGGGCTGAGGATAAAAAATTCCACTCTCTTCTCTGAACTGCCAACACTGAGCGGCTGCTAGGAGCCAGGCCCTGGAGATCACAGAGAGAAGCAAGAGCCAGGAAAGGAAATTTCCAGAAGGATGCAAGAGAGCTAGGAGGCAGCACCAAGGAGGAGTGGATGACACTTGCCCGATGGGGTGGACGTGGGCCTGTCTGCCTGTCTGTCTGGAGGGGCAGACGCGGCCCAGCTCTCCCCAGGGCCCCAGCAGTGCAGACGTACTTTAGGACAGGGGGCCGCCAGCCGGCGGGGAGACTGACCTGGCAGCCGCCGTCTGGGGCGGAGACTGCCGTGACCAGGTCTTCTCATTGCTGCTTTCTGTGATTGCCTGCCACCTGCGGCCTCAGGGCCCCAATCAGTTTTCCTCTGCCTCCATCCGCCCATGGACAGCATCCCCCAATTCCCACAGCCCTGGAAATACATCTCTGGCCCATGCAGGGGGGCTAAAGGGGGGGCATGGCCTGCCCACCACCCCCAAGTCCCAAGTGCGAATCCGCAGCCTCTTCCTGCTGCCAAGTGCACGTCTGAGTGATTGCTAATCACACTGATCACCTCACCTGCCAGGCGCTCGGGAGGGCCAGGCCTCTACTAAGCACCTCCCTGGTTGAGCACTCATTGCATCTGAGCACTCGTTTTCTCCTCAAGCGACCCTGGAGGCAGGAACAAGTATCCCCATTGGACAGATGAAGAGACTGAGGTTCAGAGAGGACCTAGTATCTCTGGATCCAGCCCAGGCCTGTGTGGCTCCTAACAGGGAGCAGGGGAGGCTCACTGTGGGCAGGGGCCCTCCGGAGACCCTGATCCACGGAGAGAAGACCCACTGTCCGGGACACGTCCCAGAGCGGTGCCTGAAGCTTCTCGGGTCTGAACACCAGAAGCCCTTCTTCATGCTGCTTTTCAAGACAGGGCTGGGAGACCTCCAACACGCGTCTTCACCTCTCTGAGTCTCAGCGACTTCACTGTTGGTAACACGGGGGTGATGACACCCCATTCAGATGCCTCTTCCCAGTGCCCCCCGGACTCCCTCCTGGAATCCACATCAGACAGAATGGCTGTGGGATCCAGGGCAGGCCCAGAGGACACAACGTCCAAATCGGAGCCGCCGCCTTCCTCTGCCGCATCATCCCCTGGCCCTGGCCCTGCTCTGTCACCCTGCAGTTTCCTGCAGCACAAAGGGAAATCACGCTTCATGTCCGGGCTCCAGACAAAAGTTCATTTGGACCGAGTTTCAGGGACTCTCAGCCGCGTGCCCTGACCCTCGGCCCCAGGTGCAGGGTCTCTCCATGGCCACAGCCCTGCACTGTGCAGGGGGTGTGGGGAGCCGGAGGCTTGCCTGGGGGAAGCTAGACGCCATGGTCATCACAGCTATGCTTATTAAGCACCATCTGCAGCCACGCATTGCCTCGTTTAATATCGCAGCAACCTCATGGGCAGGTGTGACTATCTCCCTTGAGCAGATCCCTGAGACTCAAAGGCATTGAATGACCCACCCAAGTCACTGAGGAAAGACAGCATGAGTCTGGCCAGGCCTGAAACCCAAATTCGGTGGACTCCAAGGTCATCGTTCTTCCGCCACAGCTCTACTACACCCTCCCCAGCCTGAGATGACCGCTAAATCCCAACCAGCTCCTCCTACAATCCCCGTGGGGGGTCGCAACCCCCCAGTGCAGCCAAAAGATCCCCAACTGCAGACTCACACAGAGCTGGGTTCTGAGTCTCAATAACCAACACTGAAAGCACAAGCAATGAGAGGAAAAATAGACATTGGACCTCCACCAACATTTAAAACGTTTGTGCCACAAACAATACCATCAAGGAAGTGAGAAGGCAACTCACAAAATGAGAAAAAATATCTACAAATCGTGTATCAGATAAGGCATTTGTATGCAGAATTTATAGACTCAATAACAGACAACCCGGGGTGCGGGGGGTGGGGGGGGGAATGCGCCTGGGTGGCTCAGTCGGTGAAGCGTCCAATTTCAGCTCAGGTTATGATCTCGCAGTTCATGAATTTGAGCCTCACATTGGGCTCTGTGCTTACAGCTCAGAGCCTGAAGCCTGCTTTGGGTTCCGTGTCTCCCTCTCTCTCTCTGCCCCTCCTCCACTCAAGCTCTGTCTCTCTGTCTCTCAAAAATAAATAGACATTTTAAAAACTTTTGTAAATAATAATAGACAACCAATATTTATAACTGGGTAGAGGATCTGAATACATGTCCCCCAACCCGGATGGCCAAGAAGCACATGGAAAGATGCCTGGCATCATTAGCCTTCAGGGAAATGCAAACCAAAACCACAGTGAGGTGCCACTTGATTAGAATCAAACAGACAGTAACAAGTGTTGGCTAGAATCTGGAAGGGGCTGCAGAAAGGTGCAGCGGCTTTGAAAATTGTCTAGCGTTCCTAAGCCATTACCCATGACATTACCCAATGTCTCAGCTATTTCACTCCCAGGAAGCTACTGAATGGGCTTGAAAACACATTTCCACACGAAAACTCCACAAATGTTCAGAGCAGTGTTATCCGCTGCAGTCAAAAGTGCAAACCAGTGCCCCGGGGGCTCCATTAAGCCTTTGATGCTTAACTGACTCTTGATCTCGGCTCAGGCCATAATCTCATGGTTGGAGAGGTCGAGCCCCAAATCGGGGGCTCTGTGCTGTTAGCACAGGGCTCTTTGGGATTCTCTCTGTCTCCCTCTGTGCCCCCCCCCATACATACATACATAAACAAACATTTTTGGGAAGCAACTCAAATGCCCATCAGCACGTAAACAGGTAAACAAAATGTGGTACGTCCATACAATGGAATATTATTCAGCCATAAAAAGGAATGAAGTACAAACAGGTGGTACAGTAGAGATGAACCTTGAAGACACTCAGCTAAGTGAAATAAGCCTGTGACCAAAGGTCACACAGTGTATGAGCCCATTCACATGAAATGCCCAGAGTAGGCAAACCTATAGACAGAAAGCAGATCAGGGGTTAGGAAGAGCTAGGGGGAGAGGGGACCTTGGGGTGCCTGCTAACAGGTCAGGGGTTTTTAGAGTAATTAAAATGTTCTAAAATGGGACTGTGCCTTGATACACAAGGCCGGGACTATACTAAAAAACATTGAAATGTACATTTCAAAGGTACCTGAATGAGATGGTATGTGAATTACATCTCAGTAAAGCTGTAAGAGGAAAAAAGAACCACACACACACACACACACACACACACACTTCTGGCAAACCCTGGAGCCATGTCACGTTAGAATAAAGACTGTCCCGCTCCAGACCTCAGTTTCCCCTTCTGCAAAGTGGGCTGATAAACCACACCGCTCTGCATGCAAATCAAGAAGGCAGTGGCTGGAGCCCCTCACACAGTAGGTGCTCACCCTGTACGAGGCTCCTTCCCCAGAGTGGGAGGCCACCCGGGTCGCCGAGGCAGGATGCCCCGCCGCAAGGAGGCCCAGCCTGGCCCTGGCTGCCGGACGGACTGGACTTCCAGAAGAGGATGCTCATCGCCCATGACATAATTTAGATGGATGGCTCGGGCCATCCGTCAGGCTGGGAGCGGGCGGCCCAGGAAGAGGCCGTGGGGGAGCCCATTACCGTACACGTGTTAACAGCGCTTCCTTTGTACCGACAGCCGCGCGGGCGCGGGCAAGGGCCGCTCCCCGCATTGTCTGCGCGCCGGGGCCGCGCCGTGATGATGAATGGGCCGCGCGCGCCCGGCCGCCCCCGCCGCCGCCCTGGTACCGCGGGCGGAGGGCGACACCGCGTGGCCGCGCACGGAACTGCGGGCCACCCGGCGCCGGGCCCGCTGAGCAGAGCGCATGGCTCGGTGCTCCAAAGCTCTCGGTTCAGCACAGCGCTGGCACACGGTAGGTCCTCATGAAATCCAGATGGTGATTATCACTACCTTTATCTTCAAGGGAAAAAACAAACACAACCGAGTTCAAACACTGGGCAGCCTTGCCAGATAAAATATAACGATATTCCATAATGTTTAAATTTCAGAGAAACAGCACATACTTTTTTTTTAGTGTAAGTATATTCCAAATATCTCATGAGACATATTTTTTTAAAATGGGGTACCTGTGGCTCAGTCGGTTAAGCATCCCACTCTTGATCTCCGCTCAGGTCTTGATCTCACGGTCCTGAGTTCAAGCCTTGCGTTAAGCTCAGGATTGGACACGGAGCCTACTTAAAACAAATTAAAAAAAATAAAATGCATTCATTGTTTATCCGAAATTCACATGTAACTGGCACCTTGTTTTGTTTTGTTTTGTGTTTGTAACTTTGGCAACCCTCTAGCCGGGTGATTTGAAAACAGCACCTCCCCTCTCTGGACTGAAAATAAGGAAAGCAATAGTCTATCCCTGTTAACGATACCAACAGGATTGTTGTGCAGATTAAATGAGATGATATGTGTAAAAGAATTTAAAGGGAACCATAGCAAGTTAAGTTCTTATGTTCACACTCTCTTTGCAGAGTTGAGAGAAGAAATAGCCAAGCGTAAGAGAGGAGTCTAACAGCCACTAGGTTGAATGTGAGTCAGCAGGACAATTGCCTTCATCCCTTTGCATGTGCTGTGCCCTGCACCTAGATTGCCCTTCCTTCCCAGATTGAGTCTCATCCATCCCCTGGGACTCAGCCTGCTGAAGGTTCTCTCAGACTCCCTCCTTCTGTTTTCCTTAAGAGCCCTAATTATTCTCTTCATCTCAGCCTCCCGCCTCCACCCAAGGGGAGAGACAGCATCTTATTCCTCTTTGCCTAGTTCAGCACACAGTAGGTACTCAGCTTATATTTGTTGAATGGGTGAATGTGTACCCAGTAGCTCAAGGCTCAGAAATTATTATTATCTAACATGCCTTGCAAAAACCAAACTGTAAGCGCATGAGGGTAGGATGGAGTCTGCTCTGGCCCCCTTGCGGTAGCCCCCCAGCCTCCAGCAGGCACCTAAAAAGATGTGTCGAATTACTCTGAACTGCTAACGTTATTGAGCCTTCTGTGTGCATAACCCTGTGCCAAACACTCTCTCATCTCTTCGCTCTTCACGATAAGCCAGTGACGTTGATGCTGTTATTGTGCCCATTCTACAGATCAGGAAGCCGAGGCACAGTGGAGGAAAGGAAACCCATTTGCCCAAGAAGACACATCTGTACGTGGAAGAACCTCACCTGAAGCAGGGCAGCCAGCCCTCCTCCACGGCGCCTCCACTCAGGGGCTTTGGATGGGACAGATGTGGACATGTACCCCGGCTCCAACCTTCTCCAGCAAGTGGCCTCAGCAAACCTCTTCCCCTCTCTGGATCCCAATTCTTTCCATTTCTAAGGTGGAGTGAATGAACTGACCCACCGCACAGGGTGGTGGCAAAAAGAAAGCGCCCGTCCGTGGGAAATGCACTCAGCAGAGAATTGATGCACTCGGCTCATGACATGATGTCCCCGGTGGTTGCCTAAGCCGTGGTGAAGAGAGCAGAGCGCAGGCTCTCGGCGTTGCCTGTGTGCCCAACTTCTGGGGCAAAAGAGCATTTTGAAGTTGCGAATGCAGAAACACTGTTGGAGAGATGTCTACTAAGATTTTCTCCAGAAATTGGTGCCCCTGCAGACCTCAGGGCAGGGCGGCGACTCTGAGGTGTTTGGAGCCCGCGTCCACAGGTGAAGGCTGGGGGACAGGAGACAGGGGCAAGGCAGGGAATTCTTCCAAGCAAGCCTCCCTCCAAGCTGTCTGGTCACGGGGCCCCACACCAAGGACAGAAGCGGTGGGATGGAATGGGGGGGGTGCTTTGGGGCACAGGGGGAAGGACATCCTGTCCGAATCAGGATCCACTCTGCGCCAGATCCTGCCCAGCCACCAGCCAAGCTCTGCCAATTTGCTCTTCTTAACAGAAGTTTCACCGGTTTCCTGCCTCGTTCACTTATTAAGTAAATGTCTGCTGGGTGTCTGCTACCTGCTGGCACCGCCCGCTATTGGCGCTGAAAATTCGGTGATGAACAAGTAGACATGAATAAATGGAGGTTCTTCCCCCTGGCCTGAGGCAGGGAACAGGCGAGGATGAGCAAAGCAGAGTTATGGGCAAAGCCCAGGGGACTGGGAGCACTTAGAGGAGGCACCTGACCTACCTGGGGGGGGGGGGGTAGGAGGAATCAAGGAAAGCCTTCTGGAGGAGGTGACATTTAAACTGAGCTGGAAAGAATGCGTGGGATGAGTCATACTGGGGGGAGAGGCGGAATGCTCTAGAGAGAAGAAATCATGAGACAGAGGTGTTAGAGGGAGACTGAAAGTCTGCAGGGTGGGGGGCAGGGGGAGATGAAATGAGCCGGTGTCAGCACAGAGGGTGATGAATCCACCGAGGTGAGCAGGGCAGACCAAGCATGACCTTGAAGCCATGGTGAGTATTTATGAGTTTTGCAGTGGTGCTAGGGAGCCATAGAAGGAGCTCTGCATGGGGAGAGGCTCAGCCAGGTTTCCCACAGCATTAAATACAAACCCTTCTGCCTTCCCCCTCCCCAACCAGACTAGTAAACGGGATGCCAGTGTACAGTGGGGGGCACCTTCCTTCACCGTGACGGCACCCTCAAGGTGGCCCAAGGACACGTCAGCAAATGGACGTGTGGGGCTCCCCCATCGTGACAGGCTGCAACCCGGGGCCCTGAGGCCACCCCACCCTGGCAGAGGGGTCCCCCATTCCATTCCTGCCCTCAGGAACCAGGGTTCCCACCCTACGCCCAATACGTCCCCCACCCAGACCTCTCTGCCCAGCTTCCCAAGAAGAGAAGCAGGCTTCTGGGCATGTGCAGTGAGCAATGCCAGTGGGTGGGGGCAGCGGTATGCGGGAGGGTTGGGGGAGCTGCAGCTGGAGCCAGTGAACACAGAACGCAGAGCCACGTGTCTTTCCCCCAAGGTCACCTTAGACTTTCGCCCACTCTGGGCCTCGGTTTCCCCATCTACACAGAGATGACCCACAACTCTCAGCAGTAATAACTCTCCCACCGCCTCCACTCCCAAGGTCAAGCATCTGGCAGGAACATCAATAACCACGGTTACCAGGCACACCCACCTAGCTCCAGGCACAGGACATGGAAATGCCCACCCTTGTTTTACGGTCTTCACTCGCCCAGCCAGTGAGAGGCAATCCGGTGAAAAGCAGCCCCCAGGTCGCTAACATTTAGCAGGGACCCAGCTCCTTTACATCAGTTAGATGGAATCTTTACACTCTGTGGATTATTATCCCCCTTTCTAGGAGGTTCAGAGAGGGAGAGAAACTTGCACAAGGTCACACAGCAAGTTCGAAGAAGGGCTAGAGCTCCAACCTAGTCCCCTGGGTGTTTTTAGAGGAGCTGGAAGAATTTCTAGAGGGGAGAGGAAAAAAGGAAGGACGCACCACCCAGACCAGTCTCCATCCCCTGGTGGGAGGGCTCCCTTCACTTTGCCCAGAAGGCAAAAGCCAGCCACTGCCCCGCTTTGAAAGGGGGAATTTCCCCTCCAGCGCCTGCCCCGCCCCCAGCAGCTGCCCCCACCCCTTCCCCAGCCGTCCCCCTCCCCCCTCTCCCACTCGCCAGCACAAAGAGTTGCCAAGGTAACCGCATTGCCAAAGACGTCCCTCTTTGTCTGGGGCCAGGGGAGGAAATTCACAAGCCAAGTCTCTGCTCACTGACCCCTGATGTCCCCCACAGGGCAGTGCTTATCATCCCTTCAAGGCCCCCGCACCCTACCCCACCCATTTCAACAAATTATAGCTTAGTGACAACTCCAGGTCTCAAACTCTGGGTCTCAAGGTGCGGGGGGGGGGGGGGGGGGGGGGGGGGGGGGGGGGGGGGGGGGGGGGGGGGGGGGTGTCTGCGGAGAGGTGTTGGGGGGACAACGTTGGGAAAACACGTGGCTAGCAGCAGTGCAGGAGGGGACACACGGCAAGAAGACACTATGTGCTTGACACTGGGCGCGCACATTAATACCTACGATGCGCCAGGCCCTGCAAAGCACCTCAAGTCGCGTCGAGAATACTGAGCAGCGCGCCTACTAAGTGCTTGGGCCTTTGCTAGTCGCTGAAGGGGCCCAGACGACAGCCTCCACTATGTGCTTCTCTCCGTGCGAAGATGTTGGAGAGGCGGTGAGCAGTGAGGTGGGTTGAGAAGTCCTCCTGGAGAGGCAGGCGTTTGAACCAAGCCTTGAAAATCCAGTTTGGACGCCCAGCAAATGGAGAAACTGGACAACGGGAAATTGATACTCTCCGAGCAATAGCTATGTGCCGGGCAGGTGAGGCAGGTCCCTAGCCCGAAGCAGGGAAATCAAGATTTAAAGTCAGACTCATCTGATTCCCTGTTCCCTTTCCCCTGCTGTGGTGTCTGACGATGTTCTGGAAGGTGCTTCTCTGAATGACCGGGACAGGAGCAGAGCGCCCATCAGCCTGAGCTGCACTTGGAGCCTGAACAAGAAATCCACCGTTGTTATTTTATGCTGCAGGATTTGATCCGCCCTCATTAACATTGAAGGGCTGTGTGTTACCGCCGCAGATGCTGATCCAGGCAGTTACAGGGTTAGTCCCAATCGCGTCCTGGGTCTGACCCTCATTGGCTAGATTAGGTCATGGCTGAACCAATCAGTGTAGGCCGAGGGCTGGGTCCGACTCTCATTGGCTAGACTGGGTCATGGCTGAACCAATCACTGTAGGCTGAGGGAAGGCGTGTTGTGATTGCCTCAGGCCCGGATGGTGCCCGCCTCCAGCCACGAGAGAGGGGCGGTGAGCCCCATTCAGGCAGGTGGACCGGGCACGGCCGAGGACTCCGTGGGGAAAATGGGGTGCTGTTGCCCGAAAAGGGAATGGATGCTAGGGAGGCAAAACCAACGGGTGTCCATTCCTGGGGTCCCATGGCAAGGCGCTTTGCAGGGTGATCGCAGGACGAGAGGCCCCAGGCCCCTTTGTAGGCGGAGACCTTACGAGCCTCTGAAATTTGCACGGAAGACGATGCTACTGAGGCCTGCTGGGCGATGTTGCTTCTTCCCGAGGTCTCAGGAAGTCCTTCGGTGGCTGGGGCGGGTGGCCGGCTTTCCGCAGGGAGGGTATGGTGGACTGGGCCGAGGTAGGGATGCAGAAGGGGTGGGAATGGTCTGCTCAAAGCAGTAGTCGGAGGCCAGCGTGGACAGAGTTATGCACAGCTCTTCATAAAGCCCAGATGTTTCCCTCCCTGGCTCCCCTTCCCCTATAAAGTCAGCATTTACTGAGCCTACTAGAAACGAGGCCCTGTAGCAGGCTTCACTGCGTCACAAAGAACCTCACGAGCAGGTATTAGAGTGCTGGTTCATAATCCAAATGAGCAAATGGACGCTTAGAAGCACACGGCCTGCCCAAGGTCAAAGCCCAAAACAGAGCTCCCAGTCTTCATCCATCCATTCTTTAAAAAAAAAAGGGGGGGGGGCACCTGGGTGGCTCAGTCGGTTAAGCGTCCGACTTCGCTCAGGTCATCATCTCGTGGTTTGTGAGTTCAAGCCCCGCTTTGGGCTCTGTGCTGACAGCTCGGACCAGGGGCCCACAGACTGCTTCCAAATCTGTGTCTCCTTCTCTCTCTCTCTCTCTCTCTCTGCCCCTCCCCTGCTCATGCTCTGTCTCTGTCTCTCAAAAAATAAATACACATTAAAAAAAAAACCTCTAAAAAATAATCGGGCAATGAACACCGGTTAGAAATAAAAGAGGACCTTCTGCTGGACTGCTCACACCCGTTCCAGCCTGTCTAGAAAGGCAGCAGCATGAACGCTTGGTTGAATATCCATCCGGACGTCTTTCCACACTCAGCTAATATGTTCGAATGTGTGTTGTGCCCAGCACGTGCAAGGACATTACAGATAGTTTTCAGACAGAGGGATTCTCGGGGTGTATAAATTGCAATCAGGCCGGGTTTTTTTATCGTATCTATTAGTCAGAGTGTGGGGATGGGTGAGGGACTGACAAGAAGTTAAAACTCAAGTGAGAGGAGGCCTCTTCCCACTCTCAGTTTCCCAACGATCCCCCGTGTCACCCAGAGGAAAGTCAAAGTCTCGATCGTCCAGAGGCCCTGCCTGATGTGGCCCTTGACCATCTTTCCAACCTCAGCCCCACCATCGTGTCATCATCACCCTCACTCCCTTCCAGCCATACTGCATTGTTTCCTGAACAGTCTCAAACACACTGCCTCAGGACCTTTGCACCTGCTACCTGAATGGCTCTTTCCCGGATATCCGAAGGGCTCACATCCTCACCTGCTTTAGGGCTTCCTGCAAATGTCCCTTTACCTTAATTAGACTTGACATCTCTCACACAAAATGCTCTACACCCCCTTTCACTCTCTTTTTTCCTCATAACATCTAGCCCTCCAATATACTATAAAAATTTCTTTCTCTTAAGAGTTTTTTTTTTATTTTTTAAGTAATCTCTACACTCAACATGGGGCTCAGACTCACAACCCCAAGATCAAGAGTCCTGTGTTCTACAGATTGAACCAGTCAGGTGTACCCAAAATCTTTATTATCTCCCCTTTGTCCACTCACTG